ACAGAGATTGGCCACCACAGAGTCCAGACCTCAACCCCATTGCACATCTTTCGGATGTGCTGGAGAAGACATTACACAGTGGTCCGACTCTCCCATCATCACTACAAGATCGTGGTGAAAAATGAATGCAACTCTGGATGGAAATAAATGTTGTGACATTGTATAAGCTTATTGAAACGATGCCACAGCGAGTGTGGGCCATAATAAAAGCTAAAGGTTCAAGGAAATTACTTTTTTGGCGGCTAGACACTGTTTTTTGGCTCAAATATACTTGGATATCTCAATGTGGTGACCCCCATTTCTTGGGAGGGGGGACATTTTGTTGAACCCAAGCTATCAGGCACCAGTAATGACTTTCTACTGGTTGAAGATCTGCGTCCAGCGCCTCATTTCTACTCATCATTTGAATCAAAAATGATCAACCATCCTGTCTACTGCCTGCCACTCTAATGCCAACTTTCGCCCTGTCAAGACCCTATGCAGCCATCAACCATACCTACCGCCCCCATGCCTACTTGCCCCGTACACCACGTGACAGAGCTTAAGCCTGATGGTTGGCCAGTCAGTCAACAAACACTACATTGTAGAAGAGCAGGGGAAGAGTGAATATGTGTCCTGTACTCAGAAATAACAAGAGATTCAACCTGGCCAATAAAGCGCTAATAGTAGATTGCAGTGGCGTCACAAGGGGGGTGCGGCCCGCACCAGGGTGACACCATTGCAGGGGTGACACCAAAATTACAGTGATTTTGGTGTCATCCCCTCTAAAAAGTCGGGCACTCGGTCATGGACCAAGAGCCCGGCAGTGTCTGGAGAGAGGATACCTCATCCTGCCGGGTGATTGTCCCCTCCTCTCTCACCAAGATGGCCACCGGCAAGCGTCAATTAGATGACTGCCCATGAGCGATGACGTCACTGCGTGGTGTCACCCGATCTCCGCTCCGGGTGTCACGGCCATATCGGGCAGCTCCCGGGAAGGACAGGTGTTGTGTGTGATTAGTAGGCAGCCCCTGTCCTTCTCTATGGGACTAAGAGGCCGTACGCCCCCCTATGTCCGTGCGAGTGAGCGTACTCGTACACTGACAGGATGGATCCGGTCTGCGTCTGAGCCGGAAAACATGCACCCCTACGAACTTGCACTTCAATTTTATTACATGCATTTAATAAAATTGTGATATTTAATTGTATTCGTGGATACGTCTCTAAAAAAATAACGAATTCTATAACCATATGTTGGGATGCGGTACTATGATATTTGTAGTAACCCGCATATAGTTATAATTGGGTATTTTTACTGACCACACATTTTGATTTTTGTTTAAAATTTTTGTTTATTTTTGAGTTGTATTTTTTGTTTGACCTTTTGCATGCTTGCTTTTCTATATTTCTATTACTTTATTACATACATACAGATTTAGAGTCTTCCTCTACTACCTGTCTGTATTTAACTCATTCAGCTTACCCTGACCACAGCTGCTGAGAATAGATCCCAGCTACAGAGAGGGTCTATTGTTTTTCACCAGTCAGCTCTGACAGGTAGACTGAGAGAGAGGAAGGCGGTAGGCCAACATGCACACTAATGGACATATATGGCTGCCCCCTGTTATTTATACATTAGAATTGGGTTTCTCAAAAGCTGAACTCCACGCAAATAGCTAAATACACAGTTAAAAAAAATACATATGTCGGGGGGCTGTTTTACCTGCCTTTCCCGTTTTAAGAAAGGAGCAGCAGCTGACTGATGAGCTCACCTCTGTGCTTTCTCCTCCTATCAGCATCTCCATGGCTAGCACACGCACTGTAGAACAGTTGCTGCTTTTCCCTCCTCTCTCATGCTCTGCTATATGGGGGACTGCAAGAGGCTGATACCAAATCAAATCCAGCTATTGAACTATTGTTTGAAAAAAAAAAACAAAAAACTCCATTTAAAGCCATATTAATGAATACAGGGTGACGGTTATATTTGCTTGGAATTTAGCTGTAACTGAGGTCAGCTGACTGTTGGGGGAAGCACCATCATAGAGCTGAGAAAAATAAATTCTATAGCAGGGTAAGGAGTATAAACTGTTAAATAATGAGGCTGTGCCTTTAAAGCGTACTTCCAGAACTGTTATTACAGAGATTTTTCCTTACTTCCTGTCCCTGTGACACCCATACAGGAAATGGGAGGGCTATTGTCACCGGGACAGGAAGACGCAGACAGCTAGTAAACACTGCCAGAAGTTCTTGTTAATCCCAGCCCACATGTGTGCCGGCTGGGTCCTGATGGTGGGAGGAGGCAGTGGCAGCACAAGGGGGGTGCGGCCCGCACCCGGGTGACACCAAAATGACTGACAGGCATTTTGGTGTCACCCCCCTCTAAAAAGTCAGGCACTTGGTCATGGACCGAGAGCCCGACAGTATCAGTAGAGAGGAGGGGACCCGGCAGGTATCAATTAGATGATGATGACTTCACGGCGGGGTGTCACCAAGTTTCGGCTCCGGATGACACCCGGCCTCGGGATGCCCCTGGGAGGAGGTGCCTTGCATCCTTGCAAGGCCATGCGGTGTCTTTTGACACAGTATGTACCTTGTTCAATTAGAAAATACAAAACTGAGCCTGGTCAACAGTTTTTACTTAAAGTGTACCTCCACTTTCACTGAGAAAGAACAACCCCCTCTGGGTGATCTATGTATATTGGAAGGATTTCCCACCTTTTCCTGCCCTGTCTCACCATGTCCCCTCCAGACTGATCCCTGAAAGGGAGGGTCAGGTTCATTATAACCACCGGGTGCACGTTCAGTGTTCTAATGAAGAAAGTTGCATCATCTGCATCCCTTTAGAAGTAGTTATCCCTGAAGGAAGAATCTCTCCAAAAATGGAATTCCAATTGCAGATGATGAATACATTCTTCCATGTATCTCTTTGCAGACTTCTGGGGAAAGCAGGAAATGACATTTCGAGGGGCGTTCAGTACACCGACTGTGTTCACGACACCTCCAGGCAGCCATATTGCATTTATATGTTTGAACAGTTGTAGAATATTACAGCGGCTTCAGATTATAATAGAAAGGTAATTTTTAATAAGATTTAATGACAGAAATGGCTCATGTAGCAATTTTATATTCTATATGCATTTTTTTTTAAAATAAAAGTGGAATTTCATTAAAGGGTAATTCCACTTTCCCCTCCAGCCTGCCCCCCCATCCCCCCCCCCCTCTATACTTACCTTCCCCTCAGCTTTTGTGGTACTATCTTCACCCTGTACTGCATGTACTGCCTGCGCTCTGTACTTTGAATGGCGAGCAATCGTTGGTCAGGGCACTAACCTGGCCAGGCTGACCAATGAGCAACGCTTCTCATTGTTCAATGCGGTCAGAAGCGCTTCTCATTGGTCACCGCAGTGGTGACCGCACTGACCAATGAGTCCTCGCCATTTGTGAGCAAAATTAAAAATACAGAGCACAGGGCAACAGGACAGTACGAGGTACTGATAGTACACTTGCACCGGCAGAGGGGAAGGAACATTCGCCCAAAGGTAAGTATAGCAAGGAGGGGAGAGGGGTCCAGATTGGAGGGGGGAATTCTATTTTCCCAAATTCACCTGGGAAAATGGAATTACCCTTTTAGTAGTTGAGAGTTGGTATCTTAGCTACAGCAGCATCATTTGGGGACCGTGTATGAGAGGAGAAGTTCTGAGGTACAGGGAGTGGGATGGGAGAGTGCAGCTCAATTGAAGCAGTCAGAGATAAGAGATACGTGACCCCGCAGCATCAACAGAACATAGACCAGGCTTGCTTGCTGACACCAATTGTATGTTAAGTCCTATCCAGCCCTGAGATTTACACTTATGAGCTTATTTCTCTGTCACTCTGCCACCTCCTTCCATCAGCATCTTTGTACTACAGCATGACAGATTGGCTCCTTGTGCGGCTTTTTTTTTAGAAGCAGGCTTTAATGTACACCCCCCCCAGCTTGATGACTGAACAGTAAAGGACAAGCAGCACAATGATGAGCGCATCTCTCTTTCACACTGCCCTTCCCTCCTATCAGCATTCTCCTTGTCAAATGGCTGGTTCTTTGTGATGCTTCTCCCTCCTCCACTCTGAGCTCTGCTGTACAGGGATTGCAAGAGTCTGTTACCAGGTCCAATTCAGGTACTTGCATTTATAAAAATATATTGAATAATGAATTCATGAACCCAGGGCTGTTTTATTTGAAGTCTTTAATATCTGCTTGGACAGTGACTTGGTTTACAGATACTTTAAAGACTATTAAGTATATGAGAGGTAGAAACAGCTTTGTTATATCCGATCTGAAGAACCGTATATCTGCTTTGGTTTAGGGTAGATGTGCCATAGATGCAGACTGTGTAGCTGCACCAGGTCCCTCTGGGATTTCAGGGGCCCCTTTGGATGAGGTGTGAGTTAGGCAGGGGCTGGGACCCCCTTTCACTCGGGGTGAGAAGTAGAAGGCGTGTTTCACGATATCCTAGACCGTTCTCCAAGGCACTGAGACCTACAGAATGCTTCTTCCATTGCTTTGGGTGCCACTTGGCTAGAATGGAAAGGGTTGTTGGCCGTTTGGCATAACAAAGCCTTTTCTTCATCTACTTCTATCCAAATACACTTTTTTGGACATGGGCAGTACACAAATAGGGGAGAGGGGGACAAAAAGTGTGGTCCTAGAATTGCCTTCTGCTGACTATGTCCACTGTTGACCAAACTGAATACATTTGTGTAATTGTAAGTCCCTAGCCCTTCTAAGCCTGGTAGAAACTTAAAGATGGCTTCTCATTCCCAAAGCCGTGTTCTCTTACCACATGTTATAAACTCTACCTCTCCTCTATTACAGATGATCTCAGGTAAGGATGCATATTTTCTGACCTTACTACATTTTTGCTTTATAATAATGAACATTGACATTGTTCCAGCCATTTGTCTCTTCTGAAATATGGATTTCTATACAATGTCCATTCAGATCACCTACTAATGTTTGAGATGATTAGATGGCAGGGGGTCATCAGCATCAGTCATTACTACATGGAAGACAGGATTTGAATTGGAATCACTTCTGTAATCCATGACGCTATAACAGGGCTTCCATATTAGTTCTGTTCTCCTTGTGGATCCCAACAAGGTCAAAGACAGTTTTTTCTGTTATAACATTGGCGGCCTGGGCAGAGTATCTGAATTCTGGTACCAGGGGTTGAAATTGTTCAAGTAATCAGAGGGCATGGGGGCAGTTCTTCCAGCTGAAGGAAAGTCCCACATTGGAGGAGCATTGGGGGAACATGGAGAAACCGATGAGGAATTCTGAGAGTGATCTCCGTCTTGGACACTAGGACCGTGCTTGATGACTTTTTTGAACTTGGATCTCTTGTTCTGAAACCATATTTTCACCTATCAATGAACAAAATATATGTTTTAATTTTACATTGGATGAAATGCTACAAAAGTAACACACAGCACAACATTAACCCCACATCAAGACCTTTTCTAGGACTTCCAACATGGTCATGGAGAGCCCGGAGTTAGATGCAGCTCATCTCTTACATGAAAGGTACAAAGTAACATATGAGGCACAACATTAGTCATACAGCAAGACCTTTTCTAGGACTTCCAACATGGTCATGGAGAGCCCGGAGTTAGATGCGGCTCATCTCTTACATTGGCAGATTCTGGAACTTCCAAGTATTAAAACAGACTCCATAATGTGCATTTTTGTTTTGGATGGAATGGTAAAGTTTTTTGTATTGCAGTCAGTGTTCCATGTTGGGCAGATGCATCCTCTCTATGTGTCCTGGTGACCATTGTCACCAAAACAGAATGGGATGGGAAATCCAAACATTTTCAAATGTCCCCAAGAACATGAATAGAGGGAAAATCTTCCAATTTCTTCTTTTTCTGTCTATAAGACAGGAAGTGAGGTGGGATATTCCCAATTGGACACAGATGGCAAAAATTAATTGTTGTAGGGTTTTAATCATTCCCTGCTCCAACAAAAATGAAAAACCAAAACGTTTTTCCCTTAAAAAAAAAAAAAAAACTTTAAAGCTCAGCTCTAGATAGTTTGTTTTTCAGTTTTGACAGCACGCCCACACACAGGACAAGCTCAGATCTCTCCTTGCCATGATTCTTGTGGTCAGCCCGTAAGTTAGAACCGATTCCTCAGCTGGGTCAAAAAGTCTGCCATTGAAAACACAGATCTTTCCATATAAAATGGGATATCTGTTAGAATGCACATTGTGTCTATTGCATCAACTACTGCAGTATACATTTTCGGTCACTAGATGGCAGTGTTCTATGGTATATAGTCTATTGTATTGTAATAAAGTAGAGAATAAAGCTTTGGCTTCCTTCCTGTCCTAGCCAAGCCATGTGCAGCATGCATATCACATTGTGCTTGTGTTTCTCTGTGAGGCTGTGCAAGAAGTTCCAAACCCATCTACCCATGATTTCTTGCTCCTCACCTGAGTCTGAGTCAGGCCAAGTTGTGCGGCAAGCTCCGCCCTTTCCGGAAGGGCTAAATACTGCGTTTGCTGGAACCTATGATTGAGGGCCTGGAGCTGTAAACTGGAATATATTGTTCGAGGTTTCCGGACTTTCTTCCCTTTTCCATTAATTCGGATTTCTCCATTTTCTATCACCGTGGATTTTTCCAGCTCTGGAAAATAAAAAAGGTAAGGATGTTAAATTAGGACCAAAGGAATGAGATATGCTTTACTTATCACTTTTATTGAATGATGAATTTATTGAGGCCGTCAAGGTGGAACGATAGGTTGCAAACTTGTAAGTAGGATGGAAATGACTCTTTTTCCTCTGTGTGAACATAGCTACATGTGGCAAGATGGTTAAGTTTTGGCTGCTCTTCTAGGTGATCATATAAATATTTCATATTGATTTTTTCCAGCCAGCAGATGGAGCTTTAAGCTCTATTTTAAGTGTTTCAGGGTAATCTTAAAGCCCAACTCTACTCAAAAACTCCCTACTATCCCAAAGTACCACCCCCCTCTAACTGATCTTGCCAGGGGTTTCATTTTTCATACCTTGTGAAGAAAATTATACTCATCTGATTCCCGTCATTCAGTTTCCTCGTTGATGCTGTTTACACCAACGGGAAGGTTAAAAGGAGAACTATGGGGTCAGTGTTTTCCCCCATAGTTCTCCTTAGGGTAACGGGAGGACACAAACTAGCGTCCTCCCGTTACCCTAAGCTCAGTATACTGAGACGCCGCAGCCGGAGCGGATCCCGACGTAGATGACGGGATCCGCCCAGCTGCGTGAGTGACAGCTGGCTCTGCCTATCTAGAGGCAGAGCCAGCTGTACCCGCCCCCTCCCCCATCCGTTCCGCCAGTCAGCGCTGGCAGATCGGAGCGGGGAGAGGGGAATCCAGCCCTCCCCTGTCACAGCAGAGAGCCGTGACAGGATCGAGAGGTGAGCGAACGCCGGTATGTGTTCCCTCACCTCCCGATCTACTGAGCCGACCTGTGACAGTCTCATTGAGAAGAATGCAAGAAATGACTATTTTGAATCTATGGAGTTTCCAGTTCCCTCAGTAGAATTCTTTCATTTGTTTGCTAATGGTTTAATAAGGTATACGAGTACACCCCCATACTGAAACATGTCAAGCTCTGTAACATGAAGAAGATGTGAAGAGGCAGTTGACAAGGTCACCAATGGCCAGTGTGAAATACCAGGAATGTGGAAATACTGCATAGCACAGAGAAGGTTTGAAGTGACAGTTAAAGACCTACGATGACCTGTACTGACAGACCACTCGAGGGTGCAGGTGAGGGACGAGCAAAGCACAGGTCACCTCTTATGTGTGAAACTCATCCTCAAAGGAGAACTTCAGCCAAAAAAACTTGTTTATTGTTTAAAGTCTGTATTTATTAGAAGAATAGTAGTTAACTTGGTTGACATACACTGCCCAGGCCAAAAATAAGTCACCCCCTGGATTTAGGGCAGTGTTATGATCAGTTGGTCAGGTTCAGCAACATTATGTCCAAAAATGAGGTCAGCTGCCTACCTAATAATAATGAATGATCAGGATTTTCCATCAATGGATTTTTTTTCTTCCCTGGTGGCACATTGGGCATATTCCAAGATCACAATGCCAGGATTTATCGGGTTTAGATTGTGAAAGAGTGGATCATTTTCACACATGAATTGGCCACCACAGAGTCCAGACCTTAACCCCACTGAGAATCTTTGGTATGTGCTGGAGAAGACTTTACACAGTGGTCCGACTCTCCCATCATCACTACAAGGTCTTGGCGAAAAATGAATGCAACTCCGGATGGAAATAAATGTTATTACATTGCATAAGCTTATCAAAATGATGCCGCGGCAAATGTGTGCCGTAATCAAAGCTAAAGGTGGTCCAATAAAATATTAGACTGTGTGACTTTTTTTCAGAGATGCAAAAAAAGAATCGAGTTTAAAATCTCCAAAGTGGGAGGAAATCCCCTCTTAGGCAGTTGTCACTGGGGCAGGTGTCCGAAGACACTAACATTTTTTATTTCTCATCACCTTTTGTGATAAAAATCACCAGGAGAGAAAGTGATGGCGGATCACCTGGATGAGGGTGCAAGTAGCATAAAAATCTGAGGGACGGTGTAACTCATCTCTGCTCCATTGAAAGCTAAAAAACATGTTTTGGCTGGACTTCTACTTTGGGCAAAAAAACAGGTTCAATTTAATACAGACCCCCCACCCGCTGATTATACGCCTATTCCATTCGCTCCTCCATGGAACCATATGGTAGTGAAGAGAGAAAGACCTGTGTGATCTAAGTGACCTTCCCAGCACAGCCTTATGACATGTCCATTGTACAAAGGCTGTGTATGAGAGCTAAAGGGATATGCTAGTGGCTGGGAAGGGGGCAAGAGCAAGTTGTGAGGTTAAATGTCAAATTGGATTCTACTTTCTAGAAAAACCAGTACCGCTGCAAGATAGTGTAGCGCTACCCCCGTAGGAGCCGCTGGTTGCCTGGTTCCCTTCTAGCCTGTCTTGGGTATGATCTTCAACTGCCCACCCGATAGCATTAATCACCCACTTCTGATGCCCATAAACTGAGGTCCACTCCAGTAGTAAAATGCTAAGTAAACGATTTATTGAACATCTTGGGAGAGAGGGTAAAGGGGTTCTAAGTGTCCAGGGGTAGCCATCTAAGCTCCAGACTCACCAGACTTTGTAGATGTGTCAGTGCAAATCCACTTGGTAGACAACAGGCAGCCACTGATATAACAGACAGACGAATGCAGATCCTCAATCAGGAAAGACACCGAACATGCTCTGAAGTCCACTTAGTTCCAGGGTACCTCAAGAGCCTGCACTGGTCCCGGTTCTCTTCCTCTTTCAGCATCTCAGGCCTTCTCCATGTTGGAGGCCTCAGGCAAACCTTTTCCTCACACCAGCTCATGCCCACCCCCAGGCCTCGGCCTAGCCTGAAGGGCAGGCTGAACTGGACCCAGCCCTAATCCATGGCTGGACCCGGCTAGTCTGACCACATGGCAGCTCCCACCAATATATGTACTCTATCCCAGCATGCACCACTGGCTGAGAGAAACCCAGTGATTGGCTGCTGTACTGTGCATACATTACAGTGCCTCTCATTGGCTGTCCCACAATATGACATAGTCACACTCCGCCCCGGGGGTTACAGGCAAGGCTAGACACCTGGGATTAACCATATAATTGCCACTATAAATCCAGCCAGGCTGACTACAGCCCCGGCTATCACTAAATGTCTAGTAGCCACATCACAGAAGGTGATGGGGGCTACAATAGCAACAGTGTATCACCAGAGGGGCTAATGGTGAGTAAGTTTTCCCCCCCAAAAAAGTAATAAATAAGTGGTGACAGGGTCTCTTTAAGGTTTGGTCTATGCAATGATCAAAGAAACTAATTTTTCCTTAAACGTTCATATCATATCCCTTGTGTGCAGAGATCTAATAATGCCGATTTGACTGGGCGATTGTTACCAAACTATGTTCATTGCGTAATACATGTTCAAAGAGATCATCAAGGAAATAAATTGGGGAGTTTCATGTAGCAACCAATTACAGTCTGCTTTCATTCTGCAAAATGTAATAAAGAATGTTCATTACCGGCATCAGATTGCAGCTCCCTGGAGTCAGAGTAGAATTATAAGATCTGTCAACTACGTCCCCTATTAAAATCACATGATCTTAACAAATGCTATTGATAAGACTAGGATTTAAAATAAAAACACAACATACAAAAAACAAACTACATAACTACATAAATAAATATAAAAAGGATATACAGTATAATATATATGTAATGTATATGTGTATATATATATATATA